CATGTTAAAACACCTGTCAAACGATCCTCCAACTTGGATGATTCATTATCGGAAATCGCGTTGAGTTTTCCTGTGCAGCTTTGTGCAATCACAAGGCCTCAGCTCACTTATCGTTCAGAGCACGATTTCAGTGTCCAGAGGTAGACTTTCAGGTTTTCCGTTAGAAAACCGGACTCAGTTTAGAACACAGTTGATTTAGTACAGAGTTAATGAAAATATGGCAAATTATTAGAGGCAGTTTACGCAAGTGTATTTGTGTGAATACAATTACAATGTGTTATTGTGATGGCGTCACCACTGAAGGAAATGACACAGTTCCACATGGAAATCACCCTTGTTACCATAATTAGCTGAGGCAGATTACCAAGAACAATCGCCATGGAGTGATTAATAGGTCCTTCCCCTAAGCCCCGCNCCCCGCACACCGGCAAAGGCTGAGGCGTTTGAAGCGAGGAAGCAAACCTCTATTCAGAATGGCTTGAGCCTGATACAGTGATTTTCAAAACCTATGGACGGAACAGTCTATCGTTAATTAATTCATAGGCCACTAGACAATTTAGCGAATCACCTGAGAAGAACAATTTGAATATAAAAACGTTCGATCGTTATTCCGGTCAACTGTGTTACAGTATAAGGTGTATATCAGTATTTTCTGTGTAATGTCTAATCTTTTTCAGAAAGAATTACTGCAAAGCAGTTTATTTCGGCAAATTGGGTATTTAAAAATAAGGATACTCATTTCTTTTTAGTTTCTACAACTGTACAACCCGTTTTCCAATTATTCGAATGACAACTTGTCCATAAGTAGCCGATAAACATTCGAATGTCTGGAGCGCGCTTGTCAGGGCATTCAAAATGTCTGACATATTGACATTTAATAAGAAAATGGGGTTTACATTCAACGACAATGCAGCTAATTTTAGTGGTAGTAAATTTAAGTTAAAGACAACAGTTTGACGGTTGACAAATATAATCATTCCGTTACGTCAATAATTGAATTTCACATTTAGAACACCTCAAAATATAAATCCATGAAACCGTACAATACGGTCCTCAATGTTAACATGTAACCAACATCCTGGAGCAGAATAACCACAACGTGTTCGCACACTTTTCCATGTATCTTACTCCAGAATTCAACCTTTGTTCCAGAAATGAGCGGATTTTGCTGTCAGTCTATTGAATGAACGCTGCCTAACGGTGACCCGTCAACCAGGACGATGTTTTCTTTGTACTCGATTTCCCTCCGTCCTCAATTGGCTGTTGTGACTTGAAGTGGTGAATCACATAAGGCCTGACTAAGCTAGGCGTAGTATTGACCTGGACGAATGGAATGCCCCCTACTACTGAAGTTGGGTGGTGGTTGCGGGGCTCGAACCTTGGGCCATAGGTTCCGAAACACGCGGGTGACATCGAGTCAACCAGTGCGCCACCACCACCAGAATCACCACTCCTGTAGGCCCAGAGTGTAAAACTGGGGCCGCTTTTTCGCTTTGCTGAAAGGAACACATTGTCCTGTGCAGATGGAACTAAACTTGTTATAGCATTCAGCTTTTATGTGAAAATAAACATTCTTTCCATCCGTCCGTCCACCCCGAATGCTAAATTACACCCCGTCTACCTTCAGAATTTCACACATCGATTGATATATTTGTAGATACCCTCACTTGTCCTCGAACCGATATCACATGATAAGTGCGTTAACGGTGATTCGACTCGAACTAGTTAATAAACGAAGACCAACTCAGGTGATACCATTCATGTTACCTCTGATCTTTTAAGTACCATTCGAATTTGATAACCATCCCGGCACACTTAAATGTTGACGGCACGGATTATAGGCAATTCATTGAGATGATCATAGAAATTTAGTTTATAGTGTTATACAATCAGTCCAATTCTCCCAAAGGGAATGACTAAGTGTGTTCATAAAAACGTAAGTAAAGATTTCGATGTGCTTGCAGTGAATTACCACTGAAGGACACTTGAATATGATAAGAATTCACTTTACGGTACCCCCTAATCATTTACAGTTTGTTGGAAATGATCCCCTGTCCTTTTCAATTTTTATTAGAGAAAACACGTTAGCTGTAAATGCTATCGTCTTTGGCTTGCTGCTCAAATACCTGTTCAAACCAACAGAAAGCGTTTACGCAACTAGGGTAATAAATGGATACAAGTTACTAGAGTCTCCGAAAATGAAGCGTAAAACCACAGTACTAAATCACTACTCGTTGTGCAAACAAGAATAACCCCAAAAATCAACTTTGCAACTTGTTGCACGGTAACCTCATTATTTAAAAAAGATTGATCATCTTAGGGAACCGTTGCGATGATTTTACAGTAAGATGTTCTGCTCTGAGCTTCAACTATGAATTCAATTTTTAGTGTCAACAGTCAACAGGTGTACTCCTAGGGTTTTTGACGGAGGAATCGGTCACCTTTTTCTATATTTCGCCCCATGTTGTGCGGTTGCATGGTTTATATTATGCTCATCATGTTGAGGGGACAAAATTCAGCATCCAGAACTATAACTGGGTCGGTGAGCTATCGACAATTATCCTAATTAATCCGAAAAGCTGTCGGCCGATCAGAGATGGTACAATGGCATCCGAAAGAATTCAGTATGGCTTGGGTACCTACATGGGATTGTGGCTGATACCTATTTCCTTGAACCTCACAACCCCCCTCCTAAATATTATCAATCGTATCATATACGGTCTTGTGAAGAAGCCCTGCACGTGGCGAATATGGTTTCTCCACAAGAGGTGTTTAAGCGAGCATTCTGGTCCATAACCGTGTCCGTGGACCACCGGAAACCCACCTATGGGAGTTGAAAACATCCCGATTCCAAACCAATCAAGGAGAGGCGTACAGACCACAACCTAGTCTTCTCGGTTGTGATAGTATCCACCTGCATTCAGATGTATTGCGAACATTGTGCGTTCCACCTTGTCCAAAATGTGTGCTCCGATTAATCGCACCTCGGATGCCAATAAATTGTGCTATTCCTAATAAATATTCATGCATAAACAGCGGTAATTCTACGTGTGAACCTCATGAAGTTCACTTTTATTCGGGATTGGGACATCTGTTGTGTATTCAAAATAAAATCGAGAATAAAACTTGAACTATGAATTGACGGCTTTCACAGCTTTTTCGAATGACAATGGTAATCGTGAATGCAATCAATCCTTGGGTGAGTCCGTTGTAAGGAAAAGGGTTCACATATGAACAGTTGCTTTCAACAGCATATCATCGTTTAAGCATCATCATCATCATTAACGATGAGCCCACTTTGAAGTAGAGATTCTCAACAGTCATTCTTTCTCTGAGAAAGAGAATGAAGGAGCGGTGCACTGTCTTGCACATCTTTGCATTTTATGCTTGAATGCGTCATGTATTCGATTGATTCGTGACGCGTAAGGAGCCTATGTTGTGCGTATAGGCTGGATGTGAACAACCGAATCCCGATCGGTTGTGGAGCGACTACGGTGCAGAGATGCAACGATTTGGACGGATGAGGATAATTCCAGAGATACGAGTTTCAGCTGGTCACAGCTTGTGTTCACACGTTGAATGGAACTTGGGTACATTTTGGAAATCCGACCTAGGGTTATATGCTCCGTTTAGCACTATACGCGCCGATCTCGGTGTTTAGATCAAAGGTTTCTGTATCCAATAAAAAGCAGCAGAAGACATATAAATCGAGAATTTGCATTCGCGCCAAATTCACCACGTTACCGGTCAAGGAATGCTTAGGCTGCGCGGTCCAAAGCCCACTCTAATGCATACGTGATCACTACCTTGTTCGATGAATTGATATGGATCAGTTGAGTGAGGTACTATCATGACCAGTCACATCTAGCTGAATCAGACCGAGATGTCCTTATTTGTTCGTATTTACAAACGCTTTACAAGCTTTCAGACCGATATTTCAGTCAAGAAGGTTACCTGAATGAGCAGTCGACTGTTAGACCAAGACCACAGTCGTCTTGTTGTAGCTCCTCGCTCCTTAGCTTAACATCCCGGCACTGTGTGTATACATTCACCGTTGACTTGAATTGATCAGTTGGAATTTCGTATCCGCAACCTGACCTCCCTACTCACCAAGTTCACCCATTTTTTACATTTGATTATGTCCCCCCCCCCTCTCTTCTTGGTTCAAGCAACGTGCTTGTCAACTTTGTCAATGATGCTACATTAACCTCTTCAGTACAACGCATTTCAGATATCCTTTGTCTACTCATTTCTGAAATTTAACTGCAACTCTTACAAAATCGTTCTTATCTTGAGAAGTTCACTTTGCTTTTGTTCAGGCCTCAAACGATCGCAATGTGCCCAAATAAACTGGAAAAAAACGAAGACAGGCTCGCACTATTGCTCGTGATTGGTGCTGGGATCGGTCGAACAGGAACACTAATCTTGAAAACCGTATTGGAAATACTGTACCAGAAACCTTGTTATCACATGGTGGAAGTCATTCATAAGCATTTGGATCACGTGAAACTCTGGATCGAATTGTATGACGGAATGGAGCAAGACATAGATGCTGAATTACCTCCAGCTGTGATCAAGTGGATTTTCAAAGGTTATGAGATGACAAGTGACAATCCGGTCTGTACAATCTACAAACAGTTGATGAAAACCTGTCCGGAGGCAAAGCTATGACTATTTCAGTGTGTCTATTTCTAGTTGTCTTTGAGACAGCATTTCCCAAGTAGTAAGAAAGTGTCCTACATACCGCTGAAAAGACTTTTAAACATAGCACAGCTGCATGATGATGGAATTTCTCTCAGCACTTGTACAGGGAGTTCGTCGGAGTTTGAACTCATGCATACAAATCTCCCTCACTCCATTTATGTTTGGTTGGGTACGATATTGTACCATGGTAGCCCTTATACTGACGTAATCCGGTAAACAAAGCGATTGATTGTCACATTTATACACAATACCATGCTCATCATCATTGAGCCATTTCTAACAACACAACTAATGATCGACCAAGTTGATCACAGGCAGAATACGAGCATCAATCTCTTGAATGAGTCATAACGTTTTTCTGAACAATAAATCTACCGTATTCAATTGAAATGTATGTACAAAAATTTATTTGCAAATTTTGTACTATTTGGTTTCATTTTCCTTATAATGACTTTCTTTATTCAATAGGTCTTACATTTGCTTTCAGCCTGCCAGGTCCGAAATTCGATCCACCATTGGATCGATAAACTCGCACTGTGGATGACACTTAACGAGTGTGAAATGGCTTGCTATCTGAATGCACACTTAGTTCACAGTTTGTTTGCCTTGCATTAGGCAGATAACCTGGTGAATCTGTAGTGACCATGATTGTACGAAGAAAAGGAGCAATCCACGAGGACGTTTTCCGTCCATATTTTCTTCACAATCAACTCTGACTCGAACTGTGATATTTTCTTTGTTTTACTTCTGTTTGTTTTACCGAGCACGGTTTTCCGCTCAGGCGTATATATAAGCTGGGTTCTGTTCAAACCCACGCTACACGTGTGACACGCTTTCGCTCTGCTAACACTAGTGACTGATCGTTGTGCACACTACATAGTCACTAAGGGTCCACCAGTCACGGCACGACCTCGCCGACTGGCACCGGACAAATTAGCTTTTGCTAAGAGTGAGTTCGACACGTTACTTTCAAAAGATATCGTACGTCCTACTTATAGTCCTTGGNTCCTCTACGCATGGTTCTTAAAAAAGACAGCGTTAGCTGGCGACCATGTGGCGACTATCGGTCACTTAACGCAGTGACTCGTTTCGATAGTTATCCCATCCCGTATATACACGACATTAAGGCTTCACTTCATGGCACGACTATTTTTTCTAAGATCAATCTGGTACGAGCTTAGCATCAGATCCCGGTCGCCACTGAAAATGTCGAAGAGACTGCTGTCACGACTCCTTTCGGTCTGTTTGAGTTCCTCCATATGTCTTTTGGTTTAC